TTTTTTTTTCAACGTTTATTTATTTTTGGGACAGAGAGAGACAGAGCACGAACGGGGGACGGGCAGAGAGAGAGGGAGACACAGAATAGGAAACAGGCTCCAGGCTCTGAGCCATCAGCCCAGAGCCTGACGCGGGGCTCGAACTCACAGACCGCGAGATCGTGACCTGGCTGAAGTCGGACACTTAACCGACTGCGCCACCCAGACGCCCCTCAGCATTCTTTTTAAACAGTTTTCTTTGGTTTGGGTCTACCACATAATAGGCCCTAGTGGTGGGAAGGGATGGGAGTGGCTAGGGGAGATGAAGTACGAGTCTGATTTGCTTGTGGACTGATTTCTGTCCCCTAGTTTATCTTTAGCTTTCCTTTTAAAGTAGAAATGAGAAGCTCTGGGGTAAAATTAGAAGTTTAGCTCTGACAACATGAAAATTCCAAGCTTCCTAGTGCTTGATGACTATAATTAAAACATGTATAAGGTCTTTCAGAGGAATTTTTACTGTCTTTATCTCTCCTTGGCAGTTTTAAACTTGTATCATTGGTTACAGAATTCAGGATCTGAGATTTTCTTCTCATGGGTTTGACTTTTTCTTTATGTAATTTTCATAATTCTCTACAAGGCTGTAGTTACCTGATGGCCACTTAACTGTGTTTTACTGAATGGGAATTCTCTACTAGCCAAGATTCTTAGCAATAAATCTTTCTCAAAATTTGTGTAAGACAGAGTTGTGTATTATTCTGGCAGTGATCATGCACAAACTTTGATGGCTGCTTTAAACAGCAGCATAATGAGGGATGCCTGGGTGGCTCAGTCATTTAAGTGTCTGGCATAGGTCATTTGGCTCAGGTCATGACCTCACGGTCATGAGATTGAGCCCCGCATCCAGCTCTGCGCTGACAGCCTAGGAGACTGCTTAGGATTCTCTCCGCCTCTCCTTCTGCCCCTCCCCTGCTCGTGTGCACATGTGCATGCACTTTCTCCCTCAAAAATAATTTTTTTAAAAAAATACTGTTTCTAGGATACCTTATCAGTTAAGATTCTATTTTGGAAATTCAGAAGAGTCTTTGTTAATATTAGAGATCTAATAGTCAAACAGAATTGAAGTGAATTATGGTAAAGGGCAGAAAACTTTTTTTTCTTTTTCTCTGTCTTGCATGAAACCCTTTATAAACTTGGTTGCCATAATAGCCTGCCTCTTATTTACTTCAGTAAATTCGGTGAATTCCCTCTACATACAGTGTTTCATGGTTTTTCTGATGGAGAGATACTGTAGTTTCCCTTGGCTAAAACACATATCCAGTGGTGTGCTGGTAATGCTTACCAACTGAGAGAAAAAGGTCTGATTCATACCGTTTGCTAATTTCCCTGATGTGAATTCTCCCTACAATAATAGCCTTTTCAAGCCACCAATGTGAGGTCACTGAATGTGGAGCTGGGAGGAGAGACACACGGTGCAATGAGCATTTCCACCATACAGACGAATAGATGTAAATAACTTCAAGACCACATAGTAAAATGTACTAAGATGATTGGAAAATGCAGAGTTTGAATATTTACTGTCGGTTTTTAATATGTCTTATGTATTTAAGTTACTTTACCATAGGATACACAGGAAACTATTTGCATGCCTATCTTTGGGGAACTATGTGGTTTCAAAACAGGAAAAGACTTTTACTTTGCTTTTTCATTCTTATGTTCTTTAAATTAGTTACTGGTGTTAAATTTATGAGCAACAACAAACACAATATTAAAGCAGCAGCTCTCTCTGTGATTCTGATGTATGTCTAAGTTGAGGAACTACTAATGGTTCTCAGCCACTAGCTTCCTAAACTAAAAATGTTTTTCTTGGTTCTCTGGCACCTTAGAGCTGATTTTGTGCTTCATCGCAGTGATTATTATATCCTATTAATTTACATGCTCTTATGTTCTTCAGAATGATTTGAGAACTTTTTTGCCAAATGTAGATGTTAAAATGCAAAGAAAAATAAGAGTTTCACTGCTAGAAAAAAATTGCAAAGTCGAAAATCAGAATTTGTAAATACAAATATGCCAATCTTAGGTTCGCCATACTTGATAATCAAGTTGAACAACAGATTTTTTTGTTTCTGAGTTTCCTAGCAATCAGGTGTTGGGGGGAGGGAGGGAATAATATTTTTACCATCATATTCTCCTAGAATGCTAAGCATTGCATTTACTGAATTCCAAAGTAAATCACATACATGAAATTTCATGTAGAGGGGTACTCATAGACAATGCCCTTAACACATTCCTCTAGTATTTATAGCCATGGGTTTCACATGGCTGTTTCCTATACCTCAAGAAAAAAATTTTTTAAACCATAAAAATACGTTCTTAATGTTTTTAAATGTTTATTTTTGAGAGAGAAACAGAGTGCGAGCCGGGGAGGGGGAGAGACAGAGGGAGACACAATCTAAAGCCAGCTCCAAGCTCTGAGCTGTCAGCCCAGAGCCCGATGTGGGGCTTGAACTCACAGACTGCAAGACCATGACCTGAGCCAAGTCACATGCTCAGCCAACTGAGCTACCTAGGCGCCCCAAGAATGTAATATTAAAAAGCATCTCAGTTGAAATGACTTTTCCCTTAAAGGAGAGGTTTAACAGTAACCTGATGGTCAAGCTTGATTCAAATTTGGAATGACACCTCCTAGAGGAATAAAGATTTAGAACAAGGCTGACAAAACATGGCAAATAAGTCTACTCAGCTCCTGTCCTTTGTAGGTGTGAGTTTATGGTGCTGTGTTGAAGAGGACTCTGAGACCAGGGTCAGCAGAAAGGAGTACAGTCTGTCTGGGTTACAGGAATGGAGAACAGCAGAGAAACTTCTCTGTGTTTGCCATCCTTATGCAGGCTATCTTATGTAAATTTCACTGGTCTCTGTAGTGTAAAGTGGATTGCAGACAAATGCAGTTTACAATCTTCGATAAGGGCCTGGAGTGTTATATTCTGTGTCGCTTTTTGAGAGTATATATGGTATCTGTGTTAATTGTGACTAACTCATGCTAACAGCCTGGTGCATCTATCATCATTCTGGTTTTTGACTCTGTAGTTTATTTTGTCTGTTTAATATTTGGTATCCCATTTTAGTTCATCTCCAGTCTAAGTTGTTTTCAGTTCTTTCATCTAATAGAACATCATCATTACTGTTTGTTTGTTTGGGAGTATGATTCTAAAAGCAGTGAAATAAGGAGAATTTGTCAAGTAATTCCTGTGGGAGCATTATCTTGTTACGCATTAGTATCATGTAGTTCCTATTATTGGCAATGAGCTACTTGTTGCACTTACTTTTAATGAACTACAACAAATTCTTTTATGTTATTAGAGAGGAAATTTATTATCTAAAGACAATCTCAGGGGAAATTAAAATAGTTCAGAAATGTTAATATCATTAGCTATAATATTTTGGGATTTTTTTTTTTTTTTTTTTTTAGTAATGATACAGAAGTTAAACTAATGTCATACACCTTGTAAGTTTACTGGCTCTCTCATGCACTCTCCAAAACCCACATTTAAAAATTAGTGTTTATTTCCTAATGACATCCTAACGTGGAATAACTAGGCCAAAGGGTTTGAGATTTCAAAGGTTTTGTTATATATTACCAAACTATTCTTTAGAAGAGTAGCATCAATTTATATTCTTATGGGGAAATTACTCATTCAAGGACTATTTTTAACAGGCTTAGAAAAAAAGTCACATAGTCAGTAGGCATTTTTTTCAGATGAACTGTGTTTTTCTAAGATATGGATTAGAACAATCATACAAAAACAATAATACAGTGTATCAGCCTCAGTCTTCACATCTATAGAACAGGTATGAAAATAGTACCGGTCTCTGGATATTATTGTGAGAATTAAGTGCAGCAATATATGGAAACTGCTTACTATCCTGCATAGTATAAAATGTCAATAATTATTAATTATTAGTAGTCGTAGAAAGATGGTTCACCATAGCGTTAATTAAAATAGTAGTAAACATAGGAAAGGATTTAAATGATTTTCATCCATATGAGTTAATATTATACCATGTCTTTTTTATTTTATTATTTTTTTTTTTTACATTTATTTATTTTTGAGAGACAGAGACAGAGCGTGAGCAGGGTAGGGGCAGAGAGAGAGGGAGACACAGAATCTGAAGCAGGCTCCAGGCTCTCAGCCATCAGCACAGAGCCTGACTCCCGGCTCGAACCCATGAACCGTGAGATCACGACCTGACCTGAAGTAGGACGCTCAACCAACTGACCCACCCAGGCACCCGTACCATGTCGTTTTTTTATGTTTATGTATTTATTTTGAGAGAGCACATGTTGGCAGGGGAGGGGCAGAGAAAGAGAGAGGAAGAGGAAGGGAGGGAGAGAAAACCCCAAGCAGGCTCTGCACGCTGACCTAAGCCAAAAATGAAGAGTCGGACACTTAACTGACTGAACCACGCAGGTGCCCCATACATACCATGCACTTTTTAAATGACATTCTTTAAGGATATGTAAAGACGTAACAAAATGGCTTATAATATCACGTTTACTGAAAGAGTATATATTTATCCTGCCCTAAGATGTCAGTTAATTATGTTTAAATTATGTTTTAATTAGGTTATAAAATATTGTTTCTAAAATATTGTCTTTAAATATGTTAATTATATTTTAAAATAATGTTCTTTAAAGAGATCATAGAAAAAACTGGAAAATACCAAAATGCTAAGGATTAATGTTAAAGATTTTTTTTAATTATTTTTTTAATGTTTATTTATTTTTGAGAGAGAGTGCAAGCCAGGGAAGGGGAGAGAGAGAGAGAAAGAGAAGGGGACAGAAGATCCAAAGTGGGCTCTGTGCTGACAGCAGAGAGCCTGATGTGGGGCTTGAACCCACGAACTGTGAGATCATGACCTGAGCCAATGTTGGACACTTAACCTACTGAGCCACCCAGGTACCCCAATGTTAGTAATTCTTAAAAGTAGATGATAGGTATGGGGAAGTTATATTAATACTATTCTGTTTCTATACTGTAGTTTTCATTTTTCATAATCATTTCTTAAAAGAATGACAATAAAGTTTAAATCCTTGGAATTAGTGTTTTGTGACTTGTTTAGATGTAAATTAATCCCTTGGCCAGTTTTGTTATTAAAATTTTATTGGTACTTGAAGGTTTTTTAAAGCATTTAAGAGAATGATAGGTCAAACTTGAGACCATTTGATAAAAATTATAACAAATACATATAAATATTTGGAATGGCATTTAACAGAAAAGATGGTTCATTCAGTAATGGGATTACTTAGTGATTTTTGTCATTTTTTTTTACTATTTGACATCTTCTAAAAATTCTACAGTAAACTGTGTTTAGAATCTTAATAAGGAAAAGCTTTAATCAATATTTGATGAAATCCAGATAACTTTTATGCATTAAGGATATTATTCTAGGGGCGCCTGGGTGGCTCAGTCGGTTAAGCGTCCGACTTCGGCTTAGGTCATAATCTTAAGGTCCGTGAGTTCGAGTCCCGCGTCGGGCTCTGTGCTGAGTGCTCAGAGCCTGGAGCCTGCTTCAGATTCTGTGTCTTCTCTCTCTGACCCTCCCCCATTCATGCTCTGTCTCTCTCTGTCTCAAAAATAAATAAACATTAAAAAAAAAATTAAGGATATTATTCTAGTACTAAGAGCACTCCTCCTTGTTGCTTCAGAGACTGGTCTTTGAATACACTGTTCTTCTCTAGGACAGTTTTGGTGAATGATGGATTTATGTCTGAATATATGTCCAGAAAATAGCTATTTCAGGTATTTTCTATATATGAAATACGATATAAGGGCCACCCCTATTACTACATTCTCATAAAATTTCCTTTTTAAAAAAAGGTACAGAATTTTCAATATAGCCAGTGTTCATATATAAAACTTTACCTTAGTGGGAGGAAAGGGTATCATGAGTATTTTGGCAAAATTTTCCCTCTTTAGGCAGAAATAAGATTAAGAGGAAATGAGTAACTATTTCTTCCTACCTCCAGAACTGAAACAGTATTCAAATTTATGAGTGAATTTTATTTGTAGCAAACACTTTCTTTATAAACCATGAGTTTATTTTGTAGGTGGCCTTTTAAAATAAACTATTTGATTTTATACACTGTGCTCATACTCTGGCTTTATGCCCGACCTCCCATGTCACAAACATCCAGAGTAGGACCCAATATTAAAGAAAATAAACCAGAAAAAAAAAAACCTAGAAAATATTACAGATGTTAGTAATAAATTACTCAGTAATATTCACATTAGAGCAGTAATAAATTATAATAGTGGTGGTCCTTAAAAAATTGTCCCACTGTTTACTAAGACATTTAGCCTTTCCTGTGTTCCAATTGAAATACATTATTGTTTTCTACTCTTACAAGAGTGAGATGTTAGGGGATATTGTGTTTATTCATTTGACTGATTCTATTCAATACAGAGGTTAAAAAATAAAGGTAAAGCACCTATATGCATTGTATAAACTAGCACCAAATCCTTACTATATATGAGAGAATACCTGTTTTGGAAATCACTTAACTTAAAAAATACAATCTAGAATCTGCTAAAGGCAAAGTGATTAATCCTGACACATTCTAAAAATCAAAACAATTTAGGGGCGCCTGGGTGGCTCAGTTGGTTAAGAGTCTGAATTCAGCTCAGGTCATGATCTCGCAGTTTGTGGGTTTGAGCCCCGCATAGGGCTCTCTGCTGACAGCTCAGAGCCTGGACCCTGCTTCGGATTCTGTGTCTCCCTCTCTCTCTGCCCCTCCCCTGCTGGTGCTCTGTCTCTATCTCTCTCTCAAAAACAAGCATTAAAATTTTATTTTTTAATTAAAAAAAAAGAAAGTCACACGCTTAAAAAAAACAATTTAGAAGTCTATGAAGGGGTAGGTAGCTCTTGAAGAAAAAAGGATTGAGTAAGGTAAAAAAAAAAAAAAAGGCATATTGACAAAACCATATTGGAACAGATGGATTTTATAAGGAAGAGATTTTCAAATTATGTTTTGATGAGCCGCCATAGGGGCTGGTCAACAAGGAGGTATGGAGGCCAACTATTGAAGTCTTTAAGCAAGACAGTGCAGTAGGTGTATTAGGAAGATTGAATTGACATTGGAGCCAGAGGGATGTGTTGGGAAATTTTTCAGGAAGTCAGATGAGATGGCACGAGCCTAGATGTATCATTGGCCATGGGTTTGAAAATAAAACAGGAAGATGCACACTTGGACTTTCACCAAGGAAAAACCAACAGGACTGGGTTAGAGATTGGATGGATATTATAGCAGGGGAAGGAGGAGTCCAAGATCCAAATGGTGACAGAAATGAGTCTCATGTTGAATTTAAATCCAGGGGTACAAGATGACATGGGACTATGGCAGGAGGTGATTGTATCCAAATTCTAAAGGGAAATATAAGGTGAACTAAAATAACTTGAATACGTATGCTAGAAATATGATGACTAACTGTGGGATTGTACCTCGTGTCAGTAGTGGGGATGAACACCCAACAGACCTGGAAATTGTGTTCTTGTTCTTCAGTTCTTAATGTTGGTCCCTTTCTCAGAAGTAACTAGGTTAGATAGCCTCTGTGCCTTTTTTTTTTGGGGGGGGGTGCCCTGTGTTAAATCATAAAGCCCTAGGTTCTGTGGCACAGCTAAAAATCCCATATTCAGAGCCTATGAATTGACTCCTGCTAGTAGTGTTGATAGGTGAGACAGAGACTGTTACTGATGTGGCTTCCAGTTGGTAAAAATAAAATCCCCAGCAGAAGACGTGCTATTCCTCTAAACTGGCGACATCAGCCCCAAACCCAGGGTTCATTTTCTGAGGGGTAATGAAGTCACCAGGGATTTACTATCCCTCCCCCCGCAAAAAA